CTTCTTTGATTCTTTCATCTTCTTCAGTCAGGATTTCAAAGCGCACACTCTCTGCTTCATTGTCAACACGCAAAAGTCGCTTTACCTCTTTCTCAATCTCAGGTGCATCCACCATCTGGACACATGAGGTTGTTGTAGATTGTGGAGGAGGACACATTGAGCCATTTTTGGGTAATTAAAAAGGTCTGTGTGCATGTGAGTGATAAATTCGAGGTTGAGGAAAAGGAACTTGGAGTAAAAGCCCATTTTCAGGAAATTTTTTCTTCACTTTTTTTTTAAACTGTAATAACGGCCATTTCTCTGAAGCAAACCCCCCAAAATGATATATCATTTGAAAGAAAATTGAACAAGCTTCATTTTGCTTTTTTTTAAATTGATATTAGCCCAAGTTATTAAACCTTCAAATTTGGGGCAGTTTTTTTTGGCCCACCCTGTATATATATATATTCTCATTATATGCAACCTTTACTTCACATGATGCTTTTGCCCAGAGGGCAGTGCTCAGTTGGCTGCAATCTTGCTAGTGCTATTCTTTCTCACATAGAGGAGGAAAGTTCAATCTCTTTCCCTTTGTATATGTCTTTCCTTCAATTTCCTCTCCCTTTAGGTCTTGTCCATCCTTATGTTTTTGCACTCATAATCATCAGCCTTTTAATTATTTTGCTAATGACACCAATGTTATGTAAGGGAATGAGCCTTTCACTGACTATGGGTCCAAGAGAGGCTTATACTCATTATATGAACTTTTCATCTGTTAATCTCATCTTCATTTCATATGGCCTTGAAGCAGGAAAGCTCTTCAAAATGGGGGCCAATTGATCATCCACTTTCTTTTTTTTTTTTTTTTTTTCAGGAGAACATGAGATCTTTGGAGAAGCACTGAGTGATTCTGAAGAAGAAGAAGAACCTTCCAATATCCTCATTGACGAAGACTCAAGGGCATCTGCATCCGAGGACAATCTTCACATTGATCATTTGCATGTCAGCTTCTATTTTGCCTTCTGTTAATGTCAGAGGATCCTGTAACAGTAATTGGAGAAAAGTGGAAAGTGGTATGAAAAAAATATTACAATCTTTGAAAACAGGTGAAGGAGGAAGACTCTTCAGAGAGTGGAGAAATTTCTTTCAGACGATGGAAGAAAGAATTTGAGGATTCTGCTGGAGTTGGATATAGCAGTCCAAAAAAATCAGCTCCTGACAGAAGAGGTATTACTTTACACATAATTTGCATTCCACACCCCAACTTCGCTAGGTTATATCAATTATATGTGTAACAGACTTTGATATTTCTTAATGCTGTTTAGGATCTGCTAGAAGTCCTTGCCAAAAATGAAAAGTTCCTATCATAAATTCCTGGCTCAAAAGTTGATCATCCATATAATTTGAATGAAGTGGGATGCCTTCCTATGATTACTATGAGAACTTAAAACTATTGCAATTTTTCCAAGGAAACTCAATATTGACCTTGCTTATTTTTGCAAGCTGCAGGGACTGCATGGCACTTTCACTATCTCCGGTTGGTTTTCTTTCTTGTTCCCAATTCCTGAACATATTTAGATGAGTTTACATTGGTTGTGAATGCTGCATGTGTTCAGCATCTGCTGTGCGCATTGAGGGAAGCCAAAATTCTGAAATTTCATCTCAATACAGTGCTTGTTGAATCTTGTTCGATTGTTCTTGTCAGGAATAGAAGAGAGGCTCGAGACATTGCAGAAGGAATTGATGGAGCTGAATTCCAAGCGTCAGAGTCAGCAGGTTCAACTGACAGCCATTGACAACAACATCCTCAGGCAAAAGTTCCTAGCTGCTATTGAAGCCATTGAGGAACAAGAGCGAGAAAGAGAGAGAGAGGTGAGCTTGGGTACCTTCCAGTTTCTTTGTTCACTGATTGATGCTATAAAGTCAAATGCTGCCTTTTTACATATGATGTGAAAATTTGCTAATCGACTAATTTCTTTTGCTCATGAAGTACTTGGGAGCAAAGGTGTTCACCTCCATTGCAATGAGAAATGTTCAATTTCACCATATTTAAAATAAAATAAAAACATGTCTAGTTATTCATGTGTGTTCCTGAGCAGAACTTCAAATGAATTAGCACAGGAAACAAGATCTTGAAAACACTAACTCAATATTGCACAAAATGTGTTGATCTCTTTGAGTACCATTACCTAGGGTAGCTGACAGGAAAACTTTTGTGCCTTCAAAGGAGGATAGGTTATGGTGAGATTCTATTGCTTATTACACAGTTTCTTTATTTGAAGAGAAAAAATGCAAAATTAAAATATATCATAAATAAAATTGAAATAATATGAAGAATATAAAGAAATTATCATTTCATTACTGGAGCCTATCAAGAAATGGAGCTTTAAGTAAAATATATATCCCATTTGTTCATATCAAATTTAAGTGGTTTGCATCATGCATGATCCCAGGAGTGAAACTTCCAAACTTGAATAACTAGATCTATATATATTCACTTCTGATAAGTGAGTTTGGCATCACAATTCATGCCTTCAAAAGCAACCTTGAGTAATGATGATGCAGATCAGGCCAACTTCAACTACTCTCCCTGTCATTGACAGTTGCCAGTGGCACATAAAAGTCTAAAGGGAGGAGGTGGCTTTGATGGGCATGCTTGATTGTTATATCCAAGGCATTTCTGATTGCCAGAAACCCTCTCCTCTGAGATATGAATGCTCAGGAACGCCCCAAAATTCATCACTAAGTGGTGTCAGGATGACTCTGGGCAGGGTCTATCATTGGCTCGATTTTGTTTTTATCTCTGTCAGGTATTGCAGAAATACCAAAATTTACAACCTTCAGTAAATAATATACATTTTATGAAGATCTGATTTGGTTTACAACTCAACTAAAATGCCTGCAAGAGGTAGCCCTTTCGCTAATTTCCATTGCAATTGGGATTTAATCACTTTGAATCTTGCCATAAGTTTTTCCATAAGTCTGAATGGTGTTTCACATGGATAGTGGCCCTCAACTTTGCTGCTTGTTTCTTTTTTGCAGTACAAGGATCTACTGAAGCTTCTGGAGGATAGTTGATTTTCACGAGGAGAAAGTCATATGCAAATGTTGAATGTGATTATTTGTATTTAAAATGGACCATATTTATAAGCATTATAATAAATTGCATTTTCATCCAGCATCGGTCGCACTTTTCATAAGTGAATGCAGCAATCTCACGTGACATGAAATAGACCAGCATTTTCGTTGTTTCATTACGCTACGCGTGTATTTGGGGAGGGGGGGGGGGAGAGAAGTTGTGGGTCCCCTTTGGTTGTTTCCCTGGGTGTACTTGCGTCCATTAGCGGCACCTGCAGGGTCTCTGCGCGCCCGCCCGTCGACGAATCCAGGTTCACTGCTACGAAGAGGTGGTCACGCGAAAAGCAGGTGAGAAAAACGGAAGACCTGCCCCGGTATTTATTGTCAAAGTGACCCGAAGAAAGACACGGGAGAACCAGGTGTGAGTCTGCAGGGTCGCTCATCCTGCAATCGCTTAGCCTTGGCGTCGTGCATGGGCGTGACTAGGAGGTCTTACGCTTCGGTGCGATGCCATCAGGCCGTGGTGTAGACGCCCTGCGGTCTTCTAAGTAGGGGAGTTATCCAAAATAGTTTCAAGCAGCTACTATTGTCACTTGCGGCAGCACTAATAAAGAGGATAACGATGACGAAATTTGGTGGAGGAACTCCTATAAGTGTATCGTGATATCGATCAAAGAATGGTGAAGGATGATTCCGAAGAGAAAAACGCAGCAAACGATGTTTTGGGCAGGTGGATGGACTACTAGTCGCTCTGACAAAAACAACCAGACGTTTTTGTTTTTTAATGAAGTGTGGGGTGGAAACTCCTAATGATGTCTAAGAATATCGTGGAAAGTTCACCGGGTAAAGGCGATACAGAGAAAACTTGTCTGACGCCTGAAAAATAAAGAAAAACGCCTGATCGCTTTTCTGACACTTTTTTTCTTCTTTCTTCAAGCCACTTCGCCTCTCTGAATTGCTTCACCGTGAAGCCATTCCGAGACTACGTCACTGAACTCAATTTCCCCAACTTGATCGAACGTTTCTTCGACGTCGGCTGATAGGGTTACATACCTCCCCAGGTAACACAGAACATTGAATCAACATGGATTGGATGTGGATTGAGT